CAAAAAAATAGGATGAAACACGCTCGAGGACTGTGAGTAATTCCTGGTTCTCATCTTGTGTTACCAATGGATTGTCGATAGGATCTACAAACAACCCGTGACCTTGCTGAAAATCCAAAAATGAAACCTTTTTCATCCATATTATAGTTATCTTGAGATTTGATTTTATTCTTTTTTAATATGCGATCGAGTTTATGGAAGAAATCGTAAATAATAGGTAAATTACTAGCATGTGCTTGTTGCCAATCCAACTGTCCTCCATACCGAGCTGCAAGAGCAAGGTACCTATCAAGAAAACGAGTTGTCCATCACTTTCCTAAGATAGCTATCTCACTATTATCCTCCTCCTCTGCCCTCCTTTTGGCCAGAAACTGTGCCATTTCTCGTAAAATATCCATTTGGTGTGGGAAACCAACATCATCCATGTCTTGACACCATTGCTCCAAGGCCTTTTCAGTATCAGGAGGCAACTTTTGCTGGTGCTCATGGGCCCATTAGTGATTCTGTCTTCCCACTTACTCAATCACACAATACACTTCGTGCTACTCCAAACTCAAGTGCTAGGTTCCGGAATGTTGGCGGTAGGTCTCTGCTTTCTTGGGCTGCCAGGGCTTGTCAAATTTGCTCCTTCCTATCATTGTTTGCCTTTAATTTTCGAATAACTTGAACCTTTCCCATTGCTGATCTTCTTGTCGTTTACAGTTCTCAGTTCTACAAACCCGTTCTTCAGATATACCTCTTTATTGACATGGTGTCCTGCTCTTGGCATTGAAAAAATAATGTCCGACTTCTGTGTCTTGTCCGACTTCCGGATGTCTTACATTATCATGCCATAGCGGTGTGGCTGAATGTGGATGGAAGTATGATATGATGGTTCTCCTGGAGTGGTTTTCCCTACTGTGTGATGGGGTAGCAGGTATATCTAGTTGGCTGGCCTGCCGCTTGTCTGGCAATCGGTTTTGGTAGCTCTGCCTGCCTGCCTCGACGCTTGCCTGTGGAATTTTTTGGCCTGTAAGGTATACAATACGCCGGTGACTTCTGCGATCTAGCAATCTGGGAAAGAAAGAAAAAAGTGAGTGGTCCTTCCTTGGCAAATATATCCGTTCCCATGGATATTCCCGTACACGGCGTTACTCGGGGCAAGCTAGCTAGCTCAGAGGGGGGGTTCTTTAGGTAGTTAGTAGTTGTTGCTAATCACTTGTTTGGTGTTTGGACTATTGTAAGGAAGGGAATGACTTTACCAAGTGAGTGCTGAATACATGATGGTTTTTGGTGAAGGAGCTGGTTGGCATGTAAAAGGGAAACTGGGCCACTATAGTCTACTATTACGTGCGTGCCTGCATTTCTGTGTCGTACCGTATCGTGCCTTCTGTGGTATCATTTCCTCTGCCTGCGTGTTCGTAGTGGGACTGGCGGTGCAGCTGTGATATTACTACCTTTTTTTTTCTTTTCCAAAACATAGACTATTTTTATATAATATTATGAAGCCCTGTTCGTGAGATGTATTGTCTCTTATCTCTCTGGAAGGCCGGAATTATAGAACGTATCCGAAAGTTAAACCAGCACTAGTGAAACAGTGAGTACCATCCGTGGCTAACAAACCGGCAGCTTTTTTCTTTACTTTTTCCCCCTTCCGGAAAAAAGACAAAAGGGACATGCCCGGACTATAGCGAACGAGGACGTAGTAGCAGATGCGTATGACAAACACATAGTATTACAATACAGAATCACTAACCTAGAATTTTTCCGGAATGTAGGAATAATTTTCAATCATTAAATTTTTATCTGGTATCATGTATATATGTAATTCCGCTATGGTCAAATGATGACCAAACTTTTTACATGTTGACCCTCTCTCAAAAGGGCAAAGGGTAGGACCTCAGGCATACCAATTTGATGCTCTAATACTTCAAGCATAAAATAAAGAGCTACAGTCTAAGGCATTCTATATTAAACCCAAATTGAAGCAATATTGTCACCATGGTGGTAGATAGCTCTTTCCTATTTCCATTATTATCAACAATTCCTTTTCTTTTATATATCTACCTTCCACCTATTCTTGAATTTTATGCATAAACAAATCTAGATACAGGTTCAAATCTGATACTAAATTTTGTTTTCTGTACCATATTTCTCCATGTTCATTAGCCTTTTTTTATTATTGATTTGTTTCTGATTTTAATATTGTGATAACTTTTCCACTAGGTTTTTACTTGAGACAAAAATTACTCTATTTATTGCATCATAGGAAGCTTACCTCCAAATTCTGTAACATAGCAAAGAGCCATTTGGAGTACTAGTTGGTCAATAAATATTATTATCAAATACATAGTTATAATATTATAATATTATCATACTTTTACTGCTCTAATAGAATCTGTTTCTTTTTAGTAAGTAAGAGGTAGAGAGAGTGGTAGGGTAAATCCTATTTTCTTACATACCTGGCTTGGCATTTATGAGGGAGGCCTATATGAAGGGGTCTATTACTCCCCCTTCTTTTCTTCTTTCTTCATCAACTTCTTTCACTGTTTCCTTTTTCTCTCATATGCAACACAACACAATACCATATACAATATCACACACATTACTCTATCAATACTGTATAATACAATTATCATTTTATGCAACAAATTACTGGTGGGATGGAATTAAAACTAGGTTAGTGGGAGGGTATTTACAAACAGGAGGGATGAAATTATAGGTGGGTTGGTGGGAGGGTATTTACTAACAGGAGAGAAGGAATTATAGGTGAGTTGGTAGGAGGGCATATACTAACAGGCAGGATAGAATTATAGGTGAGCTGGTAGGAAGGCATTTACTAACAGGAGAGAAGGAATTATAGGTGAGTTGGTAGGAGGGCATATACTAACAGGAGGGATGGAAATATAGGTGGGTTGGTGGGAGGGCATTTACTAATAGGTGGGAAGGGAATTATAGGTGAGTTGGTAGGAGGGCATATACTAATAGGAGGGATAGAATTATAGGTAAGCAGGTGGACAGGTATTTACTAATAGGTGGGAAGGAATTATAGGTGGATTGGTAGGAGGGTATATTCAAGTGTAGATAGGAGAAAACCACTTACTTTCATGCATTACCTTCTAATAATCTGCAATGATTGCATGGTGATAAAAATCTCAAAAAAGACCTAGTACTGTAAATCTATGTTGTTTTCTATAACATAGATTTACTTTACAAAGGCTATATTTATTCTAGTTGTTTTTTTTTTTTTTTTTTGGGGGGGGGGAAATAGAAAGTAGTATTAGGATACTGATTTGTAAATCTAAGATGTAGAATAGGTCTAATGATGGAAGTCATGTTCTAATAATATTATTATAATATTATTTACTTTTCTCACTGCTTGCTCCTTTACTCACTCATTCATCATTCCACATACACATACAATATAAAGGCTTCGAGCAAGTTTACTTCTGTTACTATCATGAGATTATTGTGTATACGCGAATCGGTCAGGAAAAAAATATTTCCTCCCAAAGTGCGTGTGATAATAATTACCCCAGTTGGTCCACCTCTTTGTCCCCCGATTTCTTTTCTTCCTTTCTGTATTTCTCCAGAACACCCCCTCAGTGACTCCGCCGCTCCAGTTATTGGGGTTCTTCCTAATACCTAATTCATGCGTATTCTCCGACCCGGACGTATCCGCGCTCTAGACACGAGTGGTGCACATGCAGCCTTTCATGGCAGCTTGGTTCAACTCCTGTCCCGGTGCAGTTAGAATTTCGACACGGGTATAGGTGGGACCAGAGATAACGCTCAGAGAACCAAACCGCCCCCCAATCGTTTTTGGTACTCTTGCTTGAGGTGGGTGGAGACTGGAGTGTTTGCTTTGTCGATCATCCGACGTCGGATGTTAGTTTAGTTTGATAAACTCCGTTGCAATTATGATAATGGTGCTTAGTTTGGTCTACGAGAATTTTTTCCTGTACGCATTTAGCCCCACAGCGTCGTGAGCGAGATCGTATGTTAACGGAGTCCAAACCTCACACCTCTGATCCTCGGACTTTTGTTTTCACCAGAGTTGTCGGTAGGGTATCTGCTATCCGACGTGGCTTGTTTTCTATCGTTCTCTTTGGTCGAAATCTTTGGGTGTTGGAGAGAATTACAATTTTCTATTATAGAAAAGTGACCTTCTCTTCCTTCATATCATACGTTGTGAAGTGCCGAGTTAGAGCCGTGGAATCCTTGGCTATTGGTTAGGAGGGTTGGGGTGAGAGGTCTATATCGCCGACATTGGAACTCTGGCGGGAGTGCTCAACTTATGCGTTTTAAGGTTAGATGCATCGCAAGTTACATGTCAGTATGCCGACGTCCGGAGACGAAATGGAGGGGGGCTTTCGGGCAGCCTTTGTGGTACTTGGGATGTGGTGGGAGGGTTCGCGAAACTTGGAATGGCTATATTAACTAATACAGAGTTATTATTGCGAGTTCTCGGATATTCCACTCGCTATGTTAGCGTCATGTCCCGGTGGCAGCTGTGCGGTAGTCGTGCGCGTAACTGTGGTGGCCTTTCTGGGTGTTCTGGCTCGTGGCTTGTTGTGATACCTCCAGGACCTGTATATAAGTAGTCCTGAACAATTGTGTCATTCGACTGACAATGCCCCGGGGCACTCGTGCGTAATTCCCAGAGTGTTTGGTGTAATATGCACTGTACCCGCGGCTGGTGCGGGTGGGATGGGGGGGGGTGGGTGCGTGAGTGTCATACACTGTCACTCGGTGGTTTATATACTGGCTTGGTTGGATATCGTCGGCAAGTTTCGTCAAATGTATGTCCATAAGTGGTAATAACATCTATGATACAAGAGCTTATTCACGTATTTAAGGGGCATGTTTGTTGTTAAGCAAGCCACTTCTAACGCTCATATCTATACACTTTTGTGTCTATTTACCTCAATATACAGCAGCCTTGGCCGCTGGGGGATCGTGGGGCCTACACTTCTCTTGGCTGTATGACATCACGCGACGCATCTCTAGCGAACCTAGGATAGAGGATAAGATAGAGGAAATGGTTGGTTTTTCGGTTTGTTCAACGCGTATAAAAAAGCGCACGATGCTCAGCATCCACTCCTCGTGAGAACCTTTCCCGCAATCAAAATCGAATGCTCCACCTTCCATGAAACCCTAAGGGTAGGCCGCAAGGGTAATATATCATGACCGCCCACAGTCCCCCGTCCAAGCTCTCCATCATACCGTTCGCCACTTACAGGTCGAAATCCACCGAAATGCTCTATATCCCACCGTCAGCTCTATCCCGGCACTGCACCAAATAAGAACAGGCTCAGGCTCACCCCATAACTTGCCCCCCTGAAAATCAACTCAAACTTCATTTCCCCACTCAAAATCGTCAAATCCAGATTATATCTCGCGACGTAATACCTCCTCCAGTTCCTCCACTTCTTCTCGTAACTGGACTTGCTCACGGAGCTCAGATCCGCCGTGATATTGCAAATGTGCTTGACATCCCGCGTGACCCTGCTCGGCGGGCGGTCCAGATCGCACGCAACCATGCTATCGACCCATGGCCCGGAGTATTTTTTGAAGGAGCGACAAAAGTTCCTGGTTATGCGCCGGTCGTCGGTTATTGGGTCTCCCTTATTCAGGAACCAGGATACTTGGTTGCGCGCCATCCGGCGGCCGGTTATTGGGTCGGTGTAGGCGTCGCGCTCGCTGTGTCGGCCTGGGATGAAAAGGGTGCTCATTGGGGTGCCGTAATGCCGACGGGAGCGCCGGACAACGTGGCTTACTTGGAGGGGTAGGGACGGCTCAAGGCCCCGCAGGACGGCTCCTTTTACTACCGCTGTTGCGCTGAGGGGGGTGTTAGCGGTTGCATGGAAGGTAATGAAATTGGGGGAGGGGAGAGGTACGCTCCGTGGGGTGAGATGGCGCTGATCCCCCATTCTCGGCACCAGGATTCTAGGCGTTGGTAGAGGTACGGGGATTCTCCAAAGCCGCCGACTAGGAGGACAGACTGTAGTTCTATTAGTATATATATATATATGATATGGCAAACTAATTGTAGAACGGGCGTACGTTTACATGATACCCCTCTTTGCAGATGGACTGTATTTGGCCACTTATTAAAACCATGATTTGGTTGACTATCGGATCGAATAATCGCCTCATTTCTTCGCTGGTTGCTCCGTTCGTTAGCAGCCCCCAACCTGCTTCAGTGCGCTTGATCTCACAGACTTACCGAGTCAATTGGAACTCCCCGCCGTATATCCCTGCTTCCGGAATCGAGTTTACGGTGGGAACATTCACGTGATATACATTTTGGTCAGGTTTATCCCTAAATGCACACTTTACCTCTTCGAAGTTTTTCACGATACGCTGCTGAGTCTCCACGCGCAGGCTGTGGTAGTGGTGGCCCATGCGTTGCTGGAGCAACACTTCGAAGTTACGGTCGATATAGGTTGAGCCGCAGAAGTCGCCTATGGGAGGGAGGATTAGTATTCTGAGGCGTTTTATGGGGTCCAAGGAGGGTTTACCTGTTCCCACAGCACATTCTGTTACTTTTAGAGGCTCGATACTAAGGACTGTGTAGGATATCAAGTCCTGAGTCGTGGTTAGCTGCGGTTTTTCCTCTTCCTCGTGTGTGTTGTGGGAGACTTACGACTGTTCCACCGCCAGCATCGCAGACCACGATCCTATCGTGGACCTTAGGAGGTTAGCTAGGATCACCGCGATAATTAAGCACCATACATTTATAGCATTCGCATCCTGATTCTTAATAGTATATATCGCTGCAGCCTCTGGCTCCGACAGTAACGAAAGGTTATGATCATTCGACATTCCCGCCGCAACCGCCGCCTCCCTGGTCCCTACAATCCATCAGCCAATCCCAATCACCCACACGCACAACCCATTAACCGATGCAGAAGAGAGAGAAACACACTCTGCTTAGCAGTATCCGACCAAACCGCCGGCACGGTGAGTACGAAATCTACCCTCGTCATTGACATCACCGCCTGCCCATTCTGCCTCCAAAGCGTACTTATAGCGTGCTGGTACAGCGCTGATAAGAAATCCCGGGTGACATCCATCGCCGTCATCCCCGGCGGCAGGGGCATCCCACTCTGTACATGATCGTCGTTACTCTCTAGGAGCAGCTTAAACCATTTCAATCTCCGTACAGTTCTCGGGATATCGTAGCCCCAGGAGAAGTCTGTTGTGCTGCCTTGGTGGTAGGCGATCTCAGAAGGCGCGCTGTGGTGGGTTAGGATTCCGGCGCTCGGCCAGTTTCCTATCAGGTTTATCTGGCCCGGGAGGTTGGATGACGCCCAGGCGAGGGCGGAATAAGTTGTTCCTGGGGGGGGGGTGGGGTGATTTGTGTTAGCCTATAATTGGAAATCATGATGGAGGGGAAACGTACCAAAGTCGAGGCCGACGATGATCCTGTGAAGGCCTGCCATCGGCGGTTGGAACTATGGTTTGAAGATTAGATGCGGGGATGAAATATCTACGTTCAGAAGGAATGCTATGATGGCGGCAGCTAAACCTTCACTCACTTCCCTAAGGTTGTGTGGGTGGAGGCTGGGGTGCTTCTCAAGGATCAAATACAGGTATGATGAGGTACGTCCCGAGTACTACCGTACTGTACAGTGCCCAATTGTCTGTCTACCTATCTGCAAATAAAGTACTGGGCAAGTGAGCGCAACCACTCCTTCCTACCATAACATCCTGCCACTGGAAGTGCATGGTGGGGTGTGGAGCTGAGGCTGAATGGAGCAGACACTGGCAGAGGTGTTGTCTACCCAACACACTTTGCAGCTTTACTCGTACATGTGAGCTATCAGTATCAGACAGTATTGCGCCCCGTAACTGTCCAGCAGGCAGGCATCGAAGGGCTTGCTTTAGTAATAAGATATTGGAACCGCAAAATGACAATTGGCCCATCCATCACACATTCGTTTTATCCCTCATCGTGTGGCTTTTAAGCCTTGCTCGGGTCGGGGATAGAGAGCGTGCGAAACGAACGATAAGGATATCGCACTGCAAATAAACGCTGTGGGTTCTCGTAAAATCTATCCCCTCCCCCAAATAGTGGCATTCACTCCCCGCGGTCTGAAAGGCGTTTTTCGAGTGCCAAACTTCTCACTGGTCTGCCAGATTTGTATGATAATAATATTATGACAATATTATGCGAAAAATACGTTACACACACCAAAGCCCTCAACTGGAGAGAGAGCCTCGCGCAAACGTTTCCCAACCCCGGGGCTGAATTCCTCCAATTTAGCTTTTGTCATTCTTGCGATACCGGAGCGGACATAGCCCTCAAATCTTTGCCAGAATCAACCAAGTTACGATGGATAACTGGAGTTCTAATAATAATACAGAATAACTCCTGGTACAAGTACCGTAATCTATCTTGGTAACACAAAAACACCAGTGGCTTGTGCCTAAAAGGTTGATACTTATTATTGTTGTTACTTGGTACCGGTACTGTAATAGCTGAGGCATTTCCACTTTGGACGGGTTCTTGGTGGCGGGGAAAGCTGGGCGAAGGAAGGATAGCTAGCCTCTACTCGGCTACCTATACGCAGTGCCCCGCACACAGTTTACTCGAATGCTGGTACCGGTATGATACTCGGGAAAGTGAAGGCTTTCGCCTAACATGCTACCGGTATGGCTCCTCTTACTGTAGGGTATCGTAGTCGTACTCGAGTACAGTACCGACAGCCACAGCACAGGTACTGGTACCGGTGCCTGTACTTGTACGAGTACTTTTACCTTACGAGGACTAGTAAGTACAGTGCAAGCCTTTTCCGCCAAGACCCCGCCTTGATAGCCAAATACCGGTACTCCACTCGAGGGCAGGACTGCAACTCGTACTCGAGTAGCCGTGTAACCAAACCAACCCTTACCAACAAAAAAAGGAAAAAAGTGACAACCATCCAATCATTGACCGAAATTACACCTTCCGAGACAAAGAACCTCCCCACCCCTCCGCCTCCCCAATCAAGACTAAAAGCGCAACAGTGCAGACCGTGTTCCGGTCGACCAGAAAACAGCCTCCCTCCGCCGAGACTTTGGCCTAGAGCCTCGATCGTGGAAAGCCAAGGAGCCCGAACGAGTGCTCCTACGAGCACAATTCTCTTAGGGTGTGACCGGATTTCCTGCTATTGTTATGATACGATTCCGGTTTAACCTGTCTGCAATACATGCAATCCATGCCATCGGGCCGCGGAGGAGAAGGAGGTGGGTTCACGGCTTTACGAGGCCAAGAACGCCAGGAATGCCCAATTCGTGGAAATGAAGAGTCTGATACAGGCACATGTCACAGAATCGTACTTGTACGGTACGAGTACTACCGTTATGTCGATTAGCAAAGAAAGCGGAATAATACGAGCAGAGGAGAGAGGCGGAGAGGTGGAGTGGTGGAGGATGTCAGCACCCAGTCGTGAGTGATGGAATAGATAAGTTGAGTTTTAATTTTCAGCGGCAGAGTTAACTTACTCCAAAGTAATCTAACGTCGTAATAATAATACGGTATGGTATTACTGTACCAGTATGAACCGATGGAGCCGCACTTGATTCATCCCGTACGGTACAGCACTCCATCTCTCCTTCCTCCTCTCCTTCCTCCTCTCCCTCCCCCTTCCCCACCCCCTACTCCTCTTCCTCCTCCTATAACCATCCTCCCTCAAACCCTTCTCTATCTGATATCACCAAGATGTCCTCGCCGCCCTACTCTACCAGCCAGCTATTGACCACGGTCATGAAGAATCCAACTGTCCTTGTACCGACCCCATCGACAACTTCAACATGGGAATCGGGGGATTTCCGCAATATTACTTATTCAACAATAAAGCTGCCCGCCGGAGCCACAGAGGATACTACATTTCAAGTAACAGGTCCTGGAGGACCCACGGGTCTCCGGAGGCAGGGTCAGGAGCACTTGTACACTGTAATAGCTATAGGGCAGCCATTACCCTCAAATGAATCGACGAGCACCACGACCACGGGAAATTCAGCCTCTCAGCCTCGCAGCAAGCCCACCGCCGAGCCCGCCCCCTCACCCCCCGCCGCGCCCACCGACATACCAGTAGCCACCGGCGGGGCTACATTGCCGACTCCCCTACCTGCCCAACAGACGGGCTCGAGCGATAACGCCCCAAAAGTGGTAGCAGGTGTCATAGGGGGATTATTTCTTCTCACCTTGGCGGCTCTTCTGTTCTTAATATTTAAGCTGAGAAAGGGTTACCTCACCTCTCATTCGTTAGCAAGTTGATATGTATACCGGTCTAACAGCTATAATATCTGGGGAAGAAAAAACAGCCGCAAAAGACCGCGCCCTCTCTCCACCAGCGATGGTATTCACAGAAACCAGCTCTGCAAAAGGCCAGTCTACAATCAGCGAATTAAGCGCCAGAAACACAGACCTAATGAACCAACTCGAGGAACGAAACGCGCAACTCTCTGCTCTGCAGGCGACTCTGATGCGCTCCAATAGTGCGCCCCCATCTCTGGATGATCGCAGCATAGCCTCGCGGTTTAAGCAGCTTGAGCAGGAATTGAAAGATTGGGTCATTATACATTTCAAGTCCACGGAACAGCGCCCCGATCTTTCACCGGAGCTGCGAGAGATCCTGATTTCTCAGGTTCCGCTATTCGATCGGTTGCTGCAGCAGCCTAGGTCCCGAACCATGGTGCTCCGCGCGGTCGCTGGGTACGTTTTCCAGAAAGCGTTTGAGAATGGGGAGTTTGCCGGGGTTGGGGAGGGCCTTGGAGCTTTGGAAAGGAGCATGGGGAGGATTAGTGGGTCCTTGCTTATATATATCAATTCTTGTCGGTACACAAAACTGACAGAGCACAGCTTCAGAGACTGAGTTCAACAAGTGGCGTTCCCAAACATTCCTCATCCTCTCGAAGGCCTCCACTACGGAATCCAAAGCACAGGTCGTCGCGACTATCTCCCGACGCATAGACAGCCTGTTATCCCCCTTCTCCACAACTGCGAACCAGACCGAGCGCCTACATTTCCTTTCCCGCATCGTAGAGTCCGCCGCCATCCTCTCCCTGGACCTTGGCTGCCAACTCGCCAAATTTAAGGTGCTGTCGGAGCCCGCCGAGACTCCATTCCATTGCGCTCATATGGAGGACGTGTACCAGGAACATGAGACGCGGGTCGACCCGCAAACCGGGAAGTTGGCCAATGTACTGGATGGGAGGGTTATCCAGGCGGTGGTGTTCCCGTGCGTGATAAAGTGGGGAAACGAGCGGGGGGAGAATTATGATGAGATGAAGGTGCTTTTGAAGGCTACAGTTTTGACTTGAGTTTGGTGAATTATATAATATAGTGAAGGGTTGGTTTTTAATGATTCAAGATGTATTTATTGATTTAGCTTTATGACGGTTATCTGATCCCTACTACATTGGGTTTACGGAATGAGTATCATACGGGCAATCAACTTTTTTCTTCGTTTCCATTTTTCTCTTGGCACCAAGACATCTCAATTTCTATACTCCCCAAACGCGTAAAAGTGCCGTAGGATATACCAATTCCTCTATCATTGACCCAGAAGTTATGTAGCTTTTAGTTTAGCAATCCTGATAATCCGGCCGATGTCAGGACAAGTCTTAAGATTGTCGCATAATAATACAAGTAACTTACAAGGAGGGTCAGGGATAAAAAACGGTACTGTAGGATGCGTCAATAAAAAAATTTCGGGAAACGTGCTTCTACTATAATTTAAAGAAGAGGGTTTCCTCTTGCCCCAATCAACTTTGTACCTGTATGATATGATTGATGGAGGAGGTTGCCTACCGGTATTCCTCCAATTCATTACATCCACCGAGAAAAGAATCCTCCAGACCCTCCCCGATCGATGGAAGGTTTCTTTTTACCTTTTTCAATCGAGCTGATTGTAACGCGCCTAATCCCGACAGAAGAAAAAAAAAACATCAAGCTCCCTTGTGATACCAACTTTTTTTTTTTTTTTTTTTCCTTTCATCTTTTCCATTCCTGACCCTTGCAACTCCAAGCCCTACAAAAGCATCACTTATCACTTCCCAAATCCAGCCGAGATCAACCAATCGATTCATTCACAAGTTAGGGCGGGTCAAGTTATCTTCATCTTCGGGTCTCACCAGGAGGAAGGAGCATCAACCAGGCGGCGGCTACCGTGCTGGCATCACAGCGATTCCAGCGAGAAACGGTCAGCACCATTCCACCCAACCTGCTTCGGCGTTACCGTATCACCGGTATCACTAAGACCTTAAAGTTAACAGTACGGTACTGCAGCAGGAAGTGGCTGGGTGAACATATCGATAATCGATACGGTGATTACTAAGACCCCCCGTACCGGTACAGGTATGGGTTTTTGCGCTTGCTATGCTGTGCAACGTTGAAGTGAATCACTCGAGCACAATGTGTTGGAGTATGTGGCGAAGAGTACCCTTTTTTTTTTCCTTTTCTTTCCTGTGAGAACTGATTTTGTTTTGCATTTGGTGGTTCAAGGCAGCCCACCGTACTCGTACATGTTGGGGTATGGTGGGATGGCTTCTTTTTAATTCTCAAGGGATCCCGTCAGGTCGGGGGGATTGGGATACAGGTGCTCTTGTGTCTCCACTTGGTTTCCAGTAACGTTCTATACCTTTACCGGTACGGGTAGTCTAACCCTTTTTACTGAAATATCGGGCACGGTATCATACCGTACTCAGGCCCACCCATCGAGACCAGCAAATACAAGCGGCGAGTTTCCCCCCCTTTCATCCTTTTTTTCCTAGTCCAAAAAATTGATCTCTTGAGGCTCCTTACCTAGGATTCTGCCAAGGTTTTAATTTACTCGAGTATGATACTTTAATTTACGGTGGTGTGGTAGGATTCAAACCCTCTAGAAGAAGAGCTATCATGCAATACCGGTACAGTACTCGTACCCCACTGCGCCCCGACTATGATACTTGTACCTGTTCTACGCCCGGGTCAAGGTCAACACTGCAACACTGCAACTTGAGGCACACCCAATATAACTGGGCCAGTGGGCAGGCCATCGACGCCCCAATCTTCCTTCGGTCGAATGGTTACTGGGCGGTTGGTTGTCCTTTGCCAATCATCCGCTTTAACTTGGAACTTGAGCCTCCAAAGATTGGTATTGTTGGCTTAAGCAAGCGGTTGAGGCCATGGAAATGGTTGGCGAACTGCAGCTCCCACGGCTAAAGCCCAGTGCGGGAAAAGTACGAGTAGAGAAGTAAAACGAAGACGATAGTGAAAATTTGTGCCTCTTTTCCATTTAAGCTGCGCTACCGGTATTTGTACCGAGCGCCTTTGAGTTAGCCGGTTTGGGTGACAGAGTCGCGGATTTGAGTATGAGACTCACTGAGACATGCATTGTCGGGATCGACAACTCTGAGCCTCTCTGGGAGCTTGCCCAATCGTGGTGAAGGCCCACACCACTAAATCCTATTATCCCTACTGGTACGATATGATACTCGTACCCGTAGACCACACTTGTACTCGAGACTGTGCTGTGAACAACAACCTAGACAAGGTCCTCAGCTTCCCCACACACTCCAGAACCACTAACTTGTCATCAATTTCACACACCCCAAAGGAAAAATAAGCACGAAGTGCAAGGTAGGAAAATTGGTCGAAAGGGTAGCCCCCCTTCCCCACGTACCGTAGTCCACCGATCCGTCCACAACTATCGAGCCAGCTAGCCACCCAACCAAATATCGGGACGATACATCAGCCTAATGTGGGGGGATAGGAAGAAAAATATGATGAAACCCAAAAAACAGGAAGGGAAAAATGTCCACAAAAACCCCGTGCCATCCCCTCTGAAGCGAGGAGCTAGCCTTCTATCGACGCACGAAGCGACCTACGGGGGATCAGTAGAGGACACGGGATACCGGATAGACTACAATTCTGAACGCCTTGGGCTCGCGCACACCATCGAGCAGAGGCCGCGTCCGCCGGGAGTAGCCCCGCCGCGACCGAGGGGGGATCCATTCGAGGAAACTGAAGACGAGGAGAATGATTTGGACGAAGCTGTCGCGGGATTGACCGAGAACATGAATTCCGGTATGAGCTATCGGGGGGGTCATGGTGCACCGGGGAGGGGGATGGTTGGAGGGGGAGGGGGCAGAGGAGGGCCTGGCGGGATGGCGAATCCTGTGAGATATAGTCTACCGCCGCAGGTACCAATTCCGACCTACAATCCTGTAGCATGGCCGGTATCGCGAGTATATCAACAGCAGGGTGGGGTGCAAGGGTTCCCTCCGGGGCCGCCTAGTGCACCTTTCGGAGGGGTGAACCCGGCTCGCCCGCAGCAGGTGGGCGGGGTTATTTTCGTGCCCGGGAGGGGCTCGGTAGTACAGGGTCCCCGGAGATTGAGTGCTCCCGTGCTGGGACCAGGACCCGGAGGTATGGGCAACATCTCATCGTATAACCCTCCACAACGGCGGCCGCCTCCCCCTCCGCCACCTCAAATGGCGCTCCCCGTATCCACTGTATCACCACAGAGCTACAATAATTCAGCCTACCGCCAACAAAGAATTCTACAAACCTTAATCCAGCAACAAGAAGAGGATAACCGTAGACGAGATACAATGAGAGACCAGGGCTTACAGCCGCCCGCCTCAACATACAGCAATGTCTCTAGTCGGGAAGGCTCAGTCTCCAACGTGCCGAGTAGTAATTCTTCGGGTCTGAGTCTCCCATATGCTTCAACGCCCACATATCAGGGTTCAGATAGGCAATCTAGTACTAGTAGTAGTATCGCATCATCCGTCTACTCAAGAAAAGCCCGAGGGGAAGTCCTCCGAAGGCAGCAGGAAGACGAGGAAATCCTCAAACGGCAGAGAGAGGAAGACGAGGAAATCCTCAAACGGCAGAGAGAGGAAGACGAGCAGTGTGAGCGGCTAGCACAATTGTTGCAGGATACTGCAACCCCACAGTATCCGCTGAGTTTCCCGACATCTCCAACCACCCCTAGGAGCCCGGGAGCAACAAGAATCGCATCAACGCCCGGGCACGCAGAGTACAAACCTGGGACGGCAGGGTCAGAAGATACTCCGGAACTGGAAATAACCCCAGCAGGGGCCACAGCCGCCCCGGACCGACGGTCATCAAATCCATTCGATCGGCCGGGCACCGCAACTACAGTCGTGAGTCTCCCGGAGCTCGGCAGGAAGGGAGCAGATCCTGGAACTCCACCCCAGAGGCACTCATCAACGCAATCTTGGCCTGGGCCCGATCGGACAAACTCTTTAGAAATGGACAATGTCGCAGGATATCGGGGGGCTGTAACTAAACCTCGGCAAAATTCAGACACTTCACCGCCACCAGCACCAAATATATCTACAAGTGGAACGGATAAGAAAACACTACAATACACCGGTCCCGTAGGACCCTGGTTCCCAGACTCCCCAACATCCACCCATGACGCCAAAGACCCCCCTCTGCCCCCACCATCCGAACTCCAGGGGCTAACCGCGACAAAGCCGGGCACACAATGCCTCAGCGACGACATAACCCGCCGCCCATCCATTGCGCACAAGCACAAATTCAATGAAGAGCACGAAGTCCAATGTCTCAGCGACGACATCCAGAATGGCGCACTATTAGCCGGCCAGAAGGGCGTTCTTCCATCGGAATTCTTCGACGGGCACCGGACGGCGTGCATCAGCGATGATCTGGCAAGGATATACTTGGGCCTCGGTGAAGAAGGCGAGCAGGAATTACAGGCCCAGATGGAGAAGGAAGAGCACTTGCGAGCGGTGGAAAGGGAAAGGTCGTGCTTGGGTGACGAATTTAGTGATTGGCACACCAACCGCTCGGGATTGATTCCGGTGATCGAAGAGGAGGAAGGCGAAACACCTGCCCGCGCACAACCGGTGATTCCTATGGCGGAGGAGGCGGATCCGCGACGGTGATACCTCCTTTCTTTGGAAAACTTTTGGGCGCCCCCGTTCTGACATTTATCGGCGAATGGAGAAGCAGTCGCTCGAAGCTGTTCAATAATCCCGGACACCTAGACCGTAGACCGCCGCCGCCGCCGAAACCTCCAAAGGTACCAGTTGCTCCGCCGAAGGTTCTGGAGACTCCGCCACCCCCGGAGGATGTAGAACCGCCGCCCCCGGAGGAGGGCGTAGAACCACCACCAGGGGCACGGTGGGAAATGAGTTGGGAGTATTATTAGAGGGTTTGGGTTTTCTTTTTTTCTTTTATCCAGGATTTGGCATTGGTATTGGTATTGGCACTAGGGACTGGAGTTAAGCGGTGGTGTAACAATGGATAATCTGGGCTTCTACACATATGCCCGTTTTGAGACTAAATCATAGTAAATATTTAGATGGGCCTTCGACAGGCATTTGGGTATATAGCACCTAGCTGTTCAATTCTTGAAGCGAATCGAATTGGCTTTAATAACTCGCTCGCAAATCATCACTGTAACACGTCGTAACTTATTCTTAAGTCTCACCTCGAACCCCCCTCCAGAGCACCAGGTAAAGCAGTGCTCCGATCAAAAAGACCGATCTATCAAACCGCATTCCGACCGGCGGGCAAATATCCCCGCCCACCCACCAACATGAAACAATTCCCACCTCTGCTCCCTCCCTCCAAGTCGCGCACATCCCCATCCCAGACAGAAGGAGAACCTCCCGAACAAACCTACCCACCGTCCCACCACCCCCAGACACCCAAAAACCCGTCCCACAACCAACCAGCAAATCACATCACATCTAACATACGATAACAACCCACGGTATGATACCGCAAGCTATTATTCCCACCCACTTCCCAAGCCAAGCTCCACCCGCATTGGGTGGGCAAGTACCGTTGCCGGTAACTTTCTCTATGCGAGACTGCCTACGTACGGGAACTTCCGTGCTATGATATGTGGCCTTTGTATGTACGGTACTGTACACGAGTAGGGTAGGGTAGGATATAGGTGCGCTCCTGCAGCTGCCTAGCTCAGACGTTTTTTACGCTTGGGTTTGTTTTTTTGCGATTTGGAGTGGTGGGGGGGCGTGGGATTTTTTGTGGGGTGTGCGCTGGTGTTTGTCATGGGGTGTCACTCGGTTGTGACCGGTTCCTCCGAATCTCGGCTGGGTGGAGATCTGGAGGGGGGGGAGGGGGAGGAGGGCGAAAGCGGGCATATATGTTTTGCGGCGAGGTTTTTTGAGATTGGCTGATGTAAAACTGTCTGTATATCATACGTTGGGGTGGACATATATGTGGCGGTGAGAAAGAGAATTAGCGAAAGGACAATGAAATGTCGACTTTGTAAGTCAGTGCAGTGGCTGGTGCTTCCTGCATTATTATATCATAGGTACCTGTACTTTCAGCGCTTATCGCCAGGCCCCACCGACTGGCTGTATGCCACACACACACACACACACTTTCTCCGCCCACCCCGGCAAGAAAGAAAATCTCATTCGGGGCACACAACAATGCACGGTGTGGAGTGAGATCGACGCTCGCTGTATTTCCGTGGAATGAATAAGGCCTTCCTTATCATCGAATCCCCGAACCGGTTTTCGTTGAATTCAGCTTCGCCTGCAACCTTCACTTGACCTCACCACACATATGTATATATCCTCTTTGAAATCACAGCTCTACGGATGCACATCTAGTGGTGGTAGTAGATAGTGACGGCCCCAACCTTTTTCTAACTCCTGTAATACTGGCCATCATACCCAGTACGATTATCATGGTATATCACTCGCTGAGAGAGAACTAACTTTTTTGCCCTTACGAGATGGGTGGCATGTTTACTAGTGCCTTCTCATTCCCTTCCAGGTTTGTCTATGATAGTAAGGAAGAAGGGCGGCGGAAGTCAAGTGGAGGACATGTATAATCCTCTTCCGTGCCGCCTCTACAGTACACGCCCGCTTTTTGTACGGGCTGTAAAAGGTTTGTTCTTTTTTTTCCTCAAAGCGATTTTCGGCCTGTGTGGTAAAATAAAGTGAAGAATACTATACCTCGATGCTAAGAAGGGCGAACAGTGTATATCTTAAAAATTGGGGAGGGGGCAAGTTATCGGTGCACACAAATTTCAGGTCCTGCTATTGTACTGTACCATATCGGTCAATAATTTGCTGCTCTGGGCACTCATCTTTCGAAGGTAGAAAAAAAAAAAAAAAAATTATTGAAGCTCTCTCAGAAATAATTTCATCCATATCGTGCCTTTGGTGGTCTTCCCCCTTCGCCGTCGTGACCGGACTGCTACCCGCTCTGCCAATACCACACATCGCTAACACCGCAATTGATTGATTTACCCACTGTGTCCCCCGTATTTGTTCGCTCTTCTCTGCCATAGGAACTTGTTACCCCATTCTCCCCTTGGACCGGATATGTGTAAACTCGGAATACCGCTCAGCGAAAGAAACAATTATCGCGCGATTCCAGATAAAGGAAAACATGCTCACGTGCTTATTTTCATTTTTGCCTAATGTGCCTGCGGAGCATCAGGGCATATGGAACCACCGCTAGAAGAGAGAGGGAAGCAGGCATTTCGCCTTTCGATTGGGGGAGGGGTTGCCACTCCTCGAGTTCCAGAATGTTATCATGATACTTCAATATGGTGGAAAGCACTACCTGGTACATCGGGGTTCGGGAAATGGCTAGATCCATATCGATGCGCACATAGACGCAGTTTATTAGTGTAATTAGCGCGGTCCCGGGCCCACGCCAAGTGGGTGGCCCTGGGGAGCGCATACTCTACCCTTAGCCTCTGTGAAGCCATCCTGCTCTGTCTTCATTACCCTGCTTCTTCTCTCCCATGATCTCAAACATCCGGCGTTATCCCAAACCGAGTGATACCACATGACACTACTAATTCGAATTGTCCCTGTTAATGATATCTTGGTCGTTACATAATTTGGTCAGCGTGGACACTGTCTGGTACCATAGGGCAGCGTAGACGGTCTACGAAAGGGTGGCATGGGAAACCTCTCCGATACCTTCGTCCAGCGATGAAGACCTTCTGCCCCGGTTCACCTCGATGTCTAGTTAAAGAAAATTTAAAGAGATTTTATCAGATTTTTAACCCTTTCTGACAGTTCAAGCTTTTACTATTACTCTTTGTCATTACAGGGATTTCAGTAGTGGGCGTTGTGGGACCAGTAACCCAGTAGGTATAAGGGCTATTGTAAATTTATGTAATTTGGTGTAGCCCTAATTGTTGAAATACTATGGTCTTCAACTTGGCATGTACACAATTTTATATATAAAGATTCAAGATCTCTACCAAAACAAAGATATTTCCCAACCTCCTTGCCTGTCACCACATCCTATCATACAATTTCTTCTCCATCTATCCTATTTCAATACCCACTACAACTGGACGGTTTGTTTACCTCTCCCATCTCTCTCTCTCTTTCTATCAAGTTGCTAATACTATGAAATACAGAAAATGACATTCAATGCTCAAACAACCACCGAAGACTGGATAATATTTCTGAAGGTCCTAACTGATATCGCAGAAGGCTTTGAGCAAAAACTTATAATCTGCCCAAAACTCACCATGTTTCAAAGCTCCCAGTCAAAAAAGTTTTTCATTCAGGTCGCCAAACCGAAAGCAGCAATCTCATTCCTTAAAGGGACGATAACAGAGGAGGAGAGGGATGTCTTGATCGAGGACTGGACCAAGGGGCTCACAATCAGCGGCTTCTTACCCATGATTCGGAATTGCGGAATCCTCGCGGTTTTCAAAAACCCCTTGGGGAACGCGATTGAGCAGCAATCAGGAGATGTGATCAGTTGGCACACCTATGCCATCTTCTATAAAGATAGAGTGCTCGGCGTCTACGACCCAAGCTTCAATCCCCAGACGGAAATGTTTCACTCTTGCACCGGTGTTCCCTTGGTGAAAGGATTAGTAAAGGCCTTTAAAGGGAAGGGTACAACACGCAAGGTTAGCGAGATTTGGTTTGGGGGAGGAGGAGGGGATGGGGAAACGGACTCTCAGGAGATGACTAGGAGGTGGATTGAGGAGGAAATTGTTGTCCAGAAAGGGGCGAATCTTGGGAATTGGAATCAGAGAGAGGGATGGGTGAAAGTTCGCTTTTAACTTGCTCTTAAAATCCAATTGAAATGCTGTATCCCTAGACTACAAAATCCAAAAAATAAAAATAAAAACCGAGATTCTAAGTTTAAACCGTGATCCTAAATCTCTCAAGTGAATAATGAATGTTAGACTACATCTTCAAGGTCTTGAGTACACTAACCACATTGTTGCTTTGATTCTCCGGTGAGATACCACTCGGGAAAGGAACCCCTCGAGGTCTTGAACGGGGCTTCACTAGTCCGTAAAGCACCTTCCTCCCAATTCCCCACCAAGCTTCCTAAGCACCCACCAATTTTGTGGACATTAGCGGCGCCCCTCTCCACTATTAAGCCCATCCGACTTCTCCAAGCATCCATCCCCGATATCCCAGGAGGTATCATACCGCCCCCGCCACACAACCATGTACAATCCCTAAACCCTCAGGCGGCGGCGACCGTGGACCAGTGCGGGGGAGGAGCTGAGGACGGTCGTCCGGGAGGGTTATTCGGGAGGGGTATTCCGGAGTAGTCCGATGCTGTAAGTAAGGAGGTCACTGAAGAGTCCGTTGAGAAAGGCGGGTGGATCGAGAAGTAGTGAGTATGCAAAGCAATGAGTGACAATACTGTACTCGCGGTGAAATACATCGTTCACAGACCCCATCCTTTATCCACCACATTTGAATTGACTGTCGGAGCATCGCGTATTATAAGCACCCAATATCCCGTCCTTCAAAAATCATGCCCTCTCGAGAAGCGAACACCACACCAAGCATAGCCACACGCAAGAGTTTTTTTACATATACAGAATCTCGACATATTTCCACGCTAGAATCCACAAGAATCAAAAATCCTTCTTTCTAAATTCTAATTACGAAATACCCACCCCCTCCTCCCCTTCCAGTTAAGGAATTCAGTGATACCGGGCTAGCTGTCCGGTCATGGTTTTGAAAGTCCCGGGTCAGTTCCGGTCGGAATTATCCACAGCAGAAAAAGGCCCGCGGTGCCCAGGAAATACCCCGGTCGGATCTCGCAGCAACCCAAGTCAATGTAGCCAGCCAGGTGACCGGGCCAGGAAGGACTCCAGTCCCGAAGAAGAAAAAGCGCATTTCCCTCAGTCCGGCCGTACCCAAAGCCGGCGGACTAGCTGCTTGAGTTCACTGAATAAAATCACTAGAGAAGAGGCCGAACGAGCAGATGTAAGATTGATATTGAATTATTGATTGTTTTATAAAAGGAGATGGAGCTCATTAAAGAAAAGAAAGGGAACGAAAAACAGAAGGAAAAAGAGTGATGCCTAGAGATGGACCTAACGGACAGGAAGAGAGTACGATAAGGCAAGTAGTCACCGAATCTCACTCCGGACGGGAGTTCCAGTCAGAGCACAAACACGATTCTCCGACATTTCCACCTAACGATTAGTCACAACCTTTTCACAAACAATCACTCGCGCGACATTTACGCTAGGCACCCTCACCACCATGTCCATCAGTCCATCGTCCCCAATCAGGAATCACGAAGCACGCTTCCCTCTCACATACGGCAGGGGAACCAGTTTGAGCCGATGGAATTCCAATTGAAAGAGGCCGTTCGAGCACCACCTCCCAACCCCAGCTCGTGGAGCATTACCTGACCAGAGTGATATAAGTGGTGCAAATTCCGGACATAATAATACACGGTCTCTGCAACTTACCCCACCGACTTAACCTACACGCGAGCGTTGCCCTTTGGATGAAAATAGATAAACAGGAAGGTAGGCGAATTCAACTCGGACAGCGATTTCACATACTCTGCTCTATGTGTGAGTCTTGATTTTCTTGATTTTTCTCTTTCCTTCCCATGCAGGAACCGGGCACATTGTGGAAATGGGGGTGCAGCACGGAGGAGGTAACGTGACAGACCGGTCCGCCGAGGAAAGTAAAACTTCCGGAACCCCCCCCGCGCGCGCAGAGTAATATTATAGGAGTGGTAGCCGTATCGGAAGGAGCTGCGCAACAGCAGTGTGGCGAGTCCGGCTCCGCACGAGGCATTTCTCCCCACCCCCCCCCCTTCGATCCAGATCGAGTGATCTTCCATGACATTTGTTACCATATCTTTTGGGAATGGCCCAATTTAGACGAGCCGCAGGATTGTTTGCCTCGTTGATAAGGATTCTCGCGAGTGTGACGCCCTCTTTCGCATATTGAACTTGTTACCGGACAAGCCTTTGCCTTAGACATATCCCGAGCTCTCCCGTGCCACACAACTATTCTGACGTAGTCTGAGGGCATAGGAAAAGTTACATTGATCACTTTCTGATACTCCACATAGGTCTTCCCCGTGTCTGTGAATCCTCCTGTCTCCTAGCTCTCGCTGAAGAACATTTCCTTGCAGGATACGTTATAAATTCCTCATTAGAAGTGGGCAAGAGAGTCCCCCTTCTCCAGTCACACTTTCTAGAGCAAAGCAAATTCCGTGCTTAAGCCATGCAAGCCCAACTATTGTCCGCCCAAGGAATGAAGTACAAATAATACGGTAGGGTACCAAAATAAGCTCGCCAAGTGCAGACAGCCTCAAGGGCACAAGCGAGGGAGGTAACGAGTTTGGTAGTCTCTGCCCTGGCAATGTATTAACCAGCACGACAATTCTGTCTATTCGTTCATCACCACTTGTCCCAACTCCCGGAAATCCAAGCAAGAGTGTGAATCATCTTACAAGACAGCAATCTTCACTACGGCATACCCCTACCATCTGCAATATTCCCAATCCGATAAATTGTCACTGGCAACAGGCCCAATAGAGGGCTAGAGGATAGCAGCACTAAGATATCCCTATTCAACACTCGCGATGCTACCTATCTAGATTCCGTGCTACCAAACGCAACCCCCCGCCCTGCATAAATTATAAATCAAAAAGGCAAGTGGACAATCACACCACACCCTGACTATACCGTCGGGAGCTCTTCCGTGACAAGCTAAATAGCTCTCTATCGCCATAGCTGCCACTTCTTAAGCACCAATGGCCCGGCCAGCACACACAGCCAACAAAGAGGATATACCAGTGCATGCTAAATATTTCACCAACCCCCCCGACTCCTCCTTTTACCCGGCCTAGCTCGCCCTGTACTAAGACCTAGTCACCTTCCTCTACCGCCAACCCTTTCAAATATTAGCGCCACAATCAGCGCGATACCTGTGTCGCATGTGTACTATACGCCCTTCTGAGAAGATCATCGCCAACATGCTTATACTGTACTCTCATCAGTGCGTTGGAGGGAATTGGGGAGATTATGATCCCTCTTGGAGAAAGCTCGCATAGGGGGAGTAGTAAAGAGACCCACTATCGCGCATCCTGGCTGTTCCGTAGAAAACCTGTAACCCTTCAGCTTCCAAATCTCATATAAAAGCACTCGCTGCACCGGAAAGCAAGGGTTCTCGGATCAATATGGAATTTGAATGCACCTTGCCGCCTTCGTGCAATTCCACCCAGCTGAACCATCTCCCCATAATAACCTTGGAAGGACTATCCCTAAAAAGGAAATAAGGAAGAAATAATGAAAACAATAACTGGGAAATGGGCTCCTGTGAACAACAGAAGCTATTGCTCTCCCCGAACCATCACCTGGGGTGTCCTACTGATACTGCAAAATAATTTAAAAACGCCGACTGCAAAAAACGCTGACTGCAAAGAGAGGGAGAAATCGCAGGAACCTCAACCCTACTTTTTAGGATAAAAGTCACAAATATCAGCAGAGTAGAAAAGACCTACCTATTTGGTGCTGTAGGTATCGCAAACTTTCCTCCTCCGCTGCCCTGTATGCCCGCCCTGCCCTGCTCCACCGGATGAAATCTTGAAATCTTGGCCAACCGGGATACCGGGGTGTGACCGCACCCCCGGTGCCCCCCCCTCAAATCCATTAATACGATAAGCTATCATAGTTGTTAATATTTTCGCTACCCTCTTTGGCAGGCAGCGGTGGGCAACACCCACTCCGACATTGTCGGTTCATAACCGCGTAAAACCCAAGGATGTGCGGTATCGAAACGCTCGGGCGGCTGAGAGCTCGACGGCGAACACATACGATGCGGGCAACGATGAATAATCCCGTGAATCGGCTACACCGTTTATAGGCCAGAGCACATTTACAAGCCAGACTGGTGCGCGAGGGGGGGGGTTCAAGACTTCTATTTGGGAGGAGGCCGATGTTAAAGAGCCTAGTGGGGGACGGGGGGGGCGGAAAAACTGAGCTGAGTTTGTTGGCATGTGAGGCGTGGTGAGGTGAGGGGTGGTGGTAGTCGTGGTGAAATGTGCATAACTTAGACTTTATCAATACATTATAGTACTCGAGTGCAGTGTGGTAATATAACACGTTCGAATTAAGCAGTTATTTGTTCATAATGCCGGTAGAATGATACTCGCAAAGGGGAAAACAACCCGCCCCATACCTTACCCTCCTGCAATTTTCCGAACCAGGGTATATGTTTCTATTATTATCTTATAATATTATCATACCTTGCTAGGTAACAAGCTGCCTATTTAATAAAGAAACATGCTCACAAGCAATCACTCGTTCCAAGCCACTTACCATCGATTGGGCCCAACATCAGCCCCCCCCTCCTTCACTCTTCAACCACCAAATATCATACCATACATACCCGTCTGTCCGTCCGTCCGTCCGCCCAGCACACTGAAAATACTCCCCCACCTGAAAATCAAAATTTCACACCTTTCTCGCCATCGCCAGGCCAGCCGACTACTTGTATGAGTACTGTACTTGTGCAGTACAGTACAATATATGAGCCTACGCTGCAGCAGGAGAGTATGACCTATGAGCATATCTACTATCTTTTTGAGTACCGTACTCAGGTGCGTGTAAATTCCGACTCCGTTGCCCGCAAAAAAAACAAAAACAAAAAAACAGTCGGTCTGTCAGGGAAATAGTCATTCCAAAACACATTGTTTCAGCCTTTTTTTTTTTTAATCCCCGCGCTTGAGGAAGCTACAGCACCGGAATGCAAGTCGGTTGAAAATGGATAAATGAATGAGTAGTCCATAAACATTTTCCAGGGATATGCGGCACCTATACAGTACTATTCGGGTGGACGTGGAGAGAAATCTTGATCTTTCAATCGTCCGTTTGGAATTTTTTGGTTCAATGACAATTAGGATCGAGATAAGGAAGCAGGAGTATCATAACCTTCACTCTGTAAGCGATAAAAATGGATAAACTCGATGGAAGGTGCGTAGTATTGTTTTTCCATCCCACAGGTCAAACCCTATTTTTTACAAATGCACCAAACCTCTATCCCAGAGAAAAAAAGATTCGTCGGGTCCGTCCCCCACCCCAGACCACCAAACAGTGCCTCCCACAGCAAGAAAAATGAAATAAAAAAAATTTAAAGAAAAAAAAGGTATGTTACTAGAATCGAAGAATAGTAGAAGGGAAAAAAGAAAAAGACGTCAGCCCTTAAATGCAATGATAATTGCCCGGTAAGATACACGATTCATTGATCCATCCGTCAACAAAGAGAGCTGTGAAAGCATGTATCACAAGGCACCCACCACGAGACGCAAGCGTCGCCAGCATATAAAAGTTGAAAGGGTATATAGACGAGGAAAAAAGCCAGAAAAAGTTGAAACGATATGGAAAAACACCCTTAGCTCGTCAAGAGTGGGATGGAGGGGTATAGTATTTTTTTTATTTTTTTGGACTCAGAAATTTTCGATTCTTAAATATTAAGCTTATTTGAAAGGTGTGCGCTCGAATCTAGTAGCTCCACGAGTCTGAAGGTTCTTATCGCAATCGTAGGCTCCCCCGAACGGGCACTTGCCATCCTTGTAGTCGAAGCAATTGTAGTTGTCACCTGCTGCATACCAGCACGGTGGACAGTCGGATCCAGTGCAGGGATTGGCGGCCATCCCTCCCTTCAAGCATGTCTTTGAGGAGCACATACTGGTAGCTGGTGCGGATGAGCTAGTGGACGGCTGCGAAGTGGATCCGGTATCGGTAGAACCAGCTGCGGAACGGTCAACGAAAATGCTAAATCCAAAAGTGGGCGGACGTTACTTACTAGCAGTACTTCCCTCAATCAAAATATCGAAGCACGTAGTCCAGGAGTTCATCAATGCGTTGTTGTAATCGGTGGTGGGATTAAAATTGGCAGGGTTCGAAGCGATAGACTTTTCCCAGGCCCAGGCCCAGACAAGCGAGTGGCGACCATTCTCCCAATTCGGGACAACAAAGTCGAAATAGTTGGCCTTTTCGTTCATCTTATCACCGGTAATCTGAATGATGGCATTCCCGCTGAAGTTGGCCTGAGCACCCCTGATCCAGTTTTGCTCTACCAATTCGCTCTTCAACTTGATATCGGTCTCCTTCTTCCCAGGGTAATACAATCTCACAACGCCAGGGTCCTTGTGGAGGGGAGAACCCATATCGTAGCGGGAATGGCCATTCCCCCAATGACGCATGCGGAGAGTTTGACCCGGTTTCGCTGTGGTCATGGGAACGCCGGCGGGATAGTTGTTCGTCTGGGATGGGCGGCAAGCAAGGCCATCAGGATTCAACGAGTTATTATTAAGGTCCCAGAGATAAGTCTTGGATTCTTGAATCCAGTCATTATTGTTAACCTTGTTGCGTGGGTACCCTTTGCAAGTTTGCTGACTGTAAGAATGTCAGCATAAGGGGCACATCTACCAATGGGAGGCAAGGGGGAGATATGATGGATGAGACCGGTATGACAACGGGAGAGATTAAAACAAATAATAGCAAAAGACAATGCCACTTACACTTCCAGGTCTGGATTAGCTCTCGCGGCCTCATAGTTAGCAACATCAGTATCAACACACTCGAGCCATGAATGAGCTGAGGCAGAGGCAGCCAGGACGGAGATCAAGGAAGCTAATTGAATCTTCATTTTCTATCGATTTTGAAGAAGCTAAAATGGGATAAGATATGCTCGGGGAATTGGAAAATTTGAAAGAAAGATAAGCCCGCCGGGGGGGAAGTGTGCAGGCAGCTGGTAGTCGTTTTGTAAGCTCGAGCGAAAAGCGATCGACTGGAGGAGGCGTTGTGTCTATGTTTGCTCGATGATAAAGCGGTGGCAGATGAGAGAGGTTGGTGACGCAACAAAAGGAGTGCAGCTAGCAAGAAGGAAGGGGGGGGGGGGTAGGGCTTCTAAATGCGCAAAGCTGTTTTTTTGCAAAAAAACAGAAAATTGAAAGAACGTGGGTTATTGCGTATAGCAAAGAGCATGTGCTTCAAATGAAATGAAGGAGAGAAAATATCACAAGAAAGTAAACGACAGAAGTGGGGGGAGAGAAGAGAGAGAGGGGTGGAGATGGATGAAGATGAAAGAATCACCTGTGGAAGGAAGGAAGTCCTTGGGTTCTTGTAGGCGAATTTGAGCCGCGCGGGTGGGGAGGGTGAATGTACTACTAGTACTGGCAACAAAGGAAAGAAAGAAAGAGGGTTTGAGAGCCAGGAGGGAAAGCTCAGAATAAAAAGACGGGACTTGAAGAGGAATAGCATACACCCGACATGAACAGGCCAGCTTGAATGGCTCCGCCAATAGAATGGCCGGAAGAATCAAGGGAGAGTGACTAACACAGCAACCCCTTCGCCATTCGTGGAGCGCTTGTGTTTCAAGCAACGCATCCCATTCGCCCATTCGCCCATTCGTCCATTCGCCCATTCGCTCTCTCTTGCCATTGTACTTCTAAAAGGGGGGGGAGGGTAATTATCAGGGTTAGAAGGACCAAGCAACGACGAGTGCAGTATGATTATTATTGGTGTCGTACCTGCATCCCAGTTTCTGTTCCTGAACATCACATCCACCCACCCACACCTCTCATGTGGCAGCCGTTGCATGGCGATTCGTCGCCTTGGTTGGCCCTTGGTACTCGAGCAATGGACAGCGCCCTGACCGAGTAGGATAGTTAAAAATTTTGGATCTTGATCTCTGGCCAGACGTATCATGAATTACCTTATGAGATGAGATCAATCTCCATATCCCCCACTCATTGCCATTAAACATATTATCGTACCGGTAATGGTCGCTCGCGAGGAAGCTTCGCCCCCCCGCTCTCCTCGATCGCACTGATAGAGCGAGCTGACGTGGATCGTCGCCTGTGGACTCTTCTGCCCCATCCTTGCGCTGTACGGGTACCGCACAGTACCAATACCTGTATGGTGGGACATTCAGCCTTTTCAACCATATACCATTGCATACAATGTTGACCCGGCGAGCAATTTTCGAGTAGGATTACCACCCCCTCCCCCGGCATGGTACCAGTATGCACTTGCACTCGGTACGGTACTGCTCGAGTACAGTACATTATACTACTCGAGTATACGCATCAACGGTACAAGTACGAGGGCAGTACGAGGGCTGTAGCCTACCTGGACGCGAGCACTCGAATTGCCCGAGCGCGCTGCGATCAAAATGGCCCACCCCACGGACTCACAATAGGGGACTCGAGTACGAGCACTATGACATGACATAGGTACGTGTACTAGTACAGTACAGCACTTGCACTTGTACTCGAGCACACTACAAGCGTACTCGAGTAATCCCCCCCTCACTTTCCCCCATCCCTTCGTGTTTCGGAACGAACCAGCTACAAGACTATTGGCAACACTCGCCCACAGTCCCAAACAAACGATTGGTGCCGGTATCCATTCAGCCCTCTTTTTCGCAAAAACAGAGTCTAACTCTTCCACGCTCGAAAAAAAAAACCCCCCATTATGGATGGATGGATAAAGGTCGGATAAGTCATTAACCCCGCTACAATTGAAGAGGGGCAAAGGCGATGGTCGGTTTATGAAATGAAAGGAAAGAATAAGACGCAATGACCCCTTTTACCCCCTGTACGAGTACCGGTATGTACTAGTACTGTACTCGTACTCGAAGAGAATACTCGTGCCAGAGAGACGTTTGCTCCGGCGCCACGCGTTCCCGTGTTGACTTACAGAAAGCCTCCCAAGCCAACCGGGATTCGATATCGTGCCAGGGCGAGGGGAAATGGGAAGAAGAGAAAGGAAAAAATTCTTCCTGGCTCGCGGTAAAAACCTTTCTCCCCCAAGAAACACTCGAGTGCTGACTGGTGCGACGGTCGGACCCAACCACCTGCTAACTTTTGCCACGGCGTCAAGGCGCTGACATAAACACGGGTGCTCCTATTCCATACTTGCTCAATTCGGCAGGCCTCCCCCTACACTACTGTAAATGAGGCTGAGGAACTCGAAAAAACTTCCAACTTGATTGGCCAATCTAACACGGTCCAACGGTAACGGTACCTGGATTCCACAATGATACGAGTAGATATAATGAGCCAGGACCACGATCACGAAGGAAATGAAGGGATGGGGTAGTCCCAGCGCCAGTCGTCTTTGACTTCATGCCACCCTGCCGACGGCGCCGTACGGCAGGGAGGGGAGCCCGCCGGGACAGCGGATGACCCGGACAGCGCATAAAATGGTGCTTCGATCTGTCGAGTCTCCTCCCTTGCCGTAAAACTTGTGAATAGTACTCGTGGCGTACTTGATCCCCTCCTTCCTTCCTTCTTCGACGCCTTACGCAGCGGACAGGACAAGATATCCTACTCGAATCGCAGCAATCTACTCGTACTCCCGCACCCTCTGATGGAAATGTGAATGTGCGGTACGGACCCTCCGTCTGCTCGGATGCGAAATCCCTGCACGCACGCACGAGCAGAGGCATGCGAGCACAACAGCAAGATGGAGCGCAACTATGGAAGTGAACGGAACACATATACAAGTACGACACAGCATTCTCATGGCAGCACAGTGCGACTGCTGAACTCTCATGTGCAACTACCGGCCCCGCTGTACCACACGCCAGCCAACCACGACGGACGAGAATTCCGTCGCTGTGTACCGTTTCCTAGTTCGGGAGGAACTCAGAAACCCAACCAGCCAGTAATTCTCCCATGACAAATTCTTCCATAGCCATTTGTCCAGTGGATATGCACTCAGTTTACCGTTCGAGTTCTTAACATACACCGACACGCACCTAAACTGCCAACCCTACTGGAAAGACTGCCCTGGCTTAGGGACAGGATCACCACGACTGGTCCGATGCAGACAGAACATCCCCACATCATTAATTTTCTTTTTTTCTCCCGCCTTGCATCCACATACTTGTACAAGTAGTAATTCGCTTCCCCCTCCTCTCCTCCCCGCCCTCCACGCCAATTCGACCATTCCTCAGTTTTGGGAGGGGGCTTTTTCCCCTTGCTGCCACCCCCTCCTTTCAAGATTGCTTTCTTTTTTTAAACCTATCTGACCCGCCCATTTCTTTGTGCCTGGCTCCCATGCCCATTCGAGAGTAGCACCAACGGGTGACGATCCCGGTTATTTATATCCGAACCGTCCACCCAACAAACTGCCGCGCCTTCTACAGTACGAGTACTCGAGTACCCGTACTAGACTACTCGTAGTACTAGGGTAGATCATGAATTCATGGTACGGAGCAGGGGTGGTGCCAGGTGTTTTAAGGCGGCACTTTGGTACAGTACACTGCAACCGAAGCAACATTTCAACAGAAAAATATGTGTTATGGTGCAGAACCTCTTAAACTAAACCTTTACCAAGATTTCCTCTCATCTCCTGTTGATGGTGTTTTTGGCTACAACATCCCTGGAAAAGAAATAAAATATTAAATAATAGACCAATATATCCTCTAGATATGGGTAACAAAATTTCAAGGGATTGTACAAACCCCTTAACAGAGTTTTGTATCAATCAATAGTTCCTAGAGTGTATAAAATGTAATCAGGTTTTAAGGAGTTACTTACCATACTACAACCAGCCTTCAGGAGTGTTTGGTTTTATGAGCTTATGAATTTATCAATATTCCTTATCATAGTTTGGCTTGATTGATCTTCCTGGTCCAAAGAGAAATCATTATTCTAATGATGTTTTATTTGAAGCGTACTACATCTACTGAGACATTACTAGTGCGGTGTACCATGAATTCATGAAATATACTCTAGTACCAGCACCCTTCGCGAAGCACCAGTGACCTGCCGCACTCGGGCTCAAATTAAATGTCGGTAGTACCTCGTGTTCGAGATGCGCGCGGGGCAATGGTCGTAGCTCATCAACCATTGTGCCCGGTCAACCATTACTCGAATAGTATCATAAGTGAAAAGTAGCACAGCTTGTGGGGGAAAAAAAGAGTGATAAACTTATAATTCGACAAGATGATCCCAAAATATAGTATAAAAATGGGTAGGCTGGTTATTAGGGTAGCAGGCAGTGGGCGGGCACCGCGACTTTCCGATGTTGTGAAGATGCTGCAGACTACCTCTTCTGAAGAGCGTATGTTCATGTGCGTCGGCGTTCTTGGTGAAGGTGTGGTGGGATATCGGATCAAATTTCTTGATTCGCTGAACCAAATCCTGCAAAAAGTTCCCCGACATTCGAATATTTGTGGGGGGGGGGGGGGGGGGAAACCCCCCATTTCAACTGGAATGGGAATCGTCTTTTTCTACCCGGGGAGATTATATCATTAGTTACCTCCGTACCATGTCGGATGCCATGGGCAGTAGTCTGGAGGTGACATCCTGCGGATATTTCGGAAATGTACTTAGAAGCATCGACACCGGGGAGGTTATCTCAAGTTATCCACTGACAGATATATATATCTAGATTTCTACTCGTCTCGCTAAATATCGATGCAATCCTACGGGGAACCACAACCTGTGTGACTGGCTGCAGAAGCTCAGCACAACGACCAATCGCTTGGGGTTAGGGGATGCTTATGGTACGACGCTGGGCTGAATAGAGGCACAGGGTGGGGGGGATCGGGGGCTTGGAACTATGGCTCTGATGTGGATCTCACTTGGAGCGGCCCTTGAAGGCCGCCGAACCGTGTCACGCTCTACTGTAGCAGTCGAGATATGGTCGCCCGATCTCGGTGCCGACGGTGTTCCTTCAATACTGTACCATAGAGAGCTTTGCTAGCCTGTCGTCAGGGACTCGTCGTGGACAAGGAGGCTTCCACGGCCAGGTTGATCCACGCTACCCCACAGGAGTATTGTACAGTACTATACCTCCGGGCCCATCCCAAGCTTTTTGGTGCAGCTCATGCAACAATGGCGGGAACCCGCTTAAGCTATCTAAATTCCCAGAAGACCAAGGCCCTTCCGATCAGCCCCTTCCTGACCTTCAGGGTAGACATTTTCTCGAATATTCTTCTCTGTATTGGAGAGTCCGCGCAAGAAGGGACCTTTCGGGTTGTGCGAGGTCGCTTCCGCTGAAGCTATTTGACGACCCCGAGCTCCAATAATCGCATATCCACTAATATCCTCTTGAAGGCATGGAAACCGTGGCGGTGCTTTGTTGATTTCGGAAAGTCCTCTCAGTTTAGTGGTTTACACTGCGCATCCTTCTTCGGGATTGTTAGGATTGTAGCTAGTTTGGTTGAGCTGGAAGGCTGTGATGTCAACTAAAAGGACTGCTTGGTTAATACACCCCTTGTGTGAGCTCTTTGAACGGGCACGAGGGAGCGGTGAAAATACTACTCAGACAGGGGTTGTCAACCCCGAAAAACCGGATAATGACCGTCAAACACCACTCTGGGCTTCTAAGAGTGACCACTCGGGTGTGATGGGTCCTGATAGCGCTACTAGTACTACAGGTACGCCCCTAGCACCTCCTACCCCAGTCCGGCCTAAGCTTGATGAGGCATCGTTCTCTTTATCATATGAATACCATTGAATTCGAATAACCTGAGTCCCATTTCTGCAAGGACCAGAACAGTTCCATGAACACATCTGTCACTGCCATTGCTACCCTCTTGTCACCTCCATGTAGTCTCCCCCACAGTTTTGGGCACCCCGGAAATTCTGCTTAAACATTATCTCCTGGTTGAATGAAATCTTATGCAATGGAACTGCGCATATCTACCACGTACCCGTCCAATTTTCTGAGATAACTGTACGTATTTTCTTATCCAATTCTCGTCCGATCGGGTCAGGATTTGTCTGTCTCTGTAATCTAGTGTTTGTCGTTGGTGGTTATGGGTTGTGTGTCTATTGTATTGGGGTAAGCAAGTGCGGTTTGGAATTCCATCATAATCCATATGCTTTTACTCCCCGGTTTTAAACTCTCTTTTACGTATTTATGGTTTACTTCTTTTCTCTTTCTACCGCGCATATTTCCCTCCCCTCCCCTCTAAAGTGCAGATATGAGGCATGTTTAGTTACGGGTATATAGAGAAGAAGATGATCTGAAGTGCGAGTTCCTTCCAACACTCCTGAGATGTGACGCAAAAGCCAGCTTCTGACTAAGTTGTGGAGGTGATTGGTTTCAACTCCGGACATGGTTTCATGAGTATCGTGTATACTTCCATGCCACTTTCCCCCGCGTGTCAACTTGAAGGCAAGCCCGGGAGGCTGTCGGCACGTGTTAGCGCCGCCCACAAGGAAAATTAGCACAGTAGAGAGTGCCCATTTTATCCGCGAAATCTAACTCCTATTCCACTGGCAACCGGTATCCTACCGGGGGCTTGTAAAGAGTGACCGAACGGCCCACCACCACGCTGTGCGATGTCGACCTACTAGCGAGTTGTGAGGAATTGTCCTCTTCTTTATTTTCCCATTGCAGCTTTTTTTCTTCCTTCCTTCTCTGACCTTCACAGAGCATTCCGTGAAATACTCGGGTCGGGAATCGCGCGGGACTATATGCTCGGAATCTTAGCCGGGGGGGAGGGGGGACTTTTGCCATGTCGAGGGATTAGCGTTCGAAGGCTCAATGCCGGGAAAAACGGTGCCCAGCACCGCAAAGATTTGTCAGCGAGTGATAAGTGCCTTACTTCTGCCATCTGAAGCGCATGTCAGGTTTTAAGTGATCATGCTCCTAGCCATTGGTATCCATTGTGGTAGTGGTGTAAGATTGGTCACGTGAAAGGGGAAAACAGGCAAAACGAACGGTGGAGGGGGGGGGAAAGAAGTTTACATAAAACTGATGGTATGATATGATGCCACAGTATGATACAGCTTCTCCACATCAAGCAGGGGGCTCATGATACGCGGTATTTTTTCTTTTTTTTTTACTACCACTGCTAAGCTGCGAATTTGAATTTGACTATTTTCTATCATCTTCCCCATCAACAAATGCTGAGATTGCTCCGGTATTCCCTCCCTCAAGACGGAGGTGTGAGCTCGAAGAAATTGTACATCCGCTTATCATAGGGTTATCCCACTTGCTTGATAATCTAGTGATCATCTTGCCCCTTTGTTTCTTCTTGGGGTTGGTTAGATGGAAGTTGGGCTGCTGGGCGAACAGACGAGCTCGTGCGGGGGGCGGGGAGTTCTGCCCTATCGGCGGCGAAAATGCTAATTGGTCAAATTTTGTTGGTATTGATGACTTAGATTTTGATCGCTAGATTGCTTATTGGGCTATGGTTGAATGAATGACTTGATAGGGGAGATGGTAATGGCATGTAAGGAGGAATGCCTGCAGAGGGGGACGACGCCATTGGTGAAGACATAGGTTTATTCGCAGCATTGGTGGATTGTGTATCTGGAAAGTGGATTGGGGTTTCCCTCCTTCCTCCCCTCATTCACCCTTTCTTTCTTGGTACACCGTGTCTAAACGCTGAATATATCTACCGGGATATAAAGTTAGACTTGCCGAGTGATGGTCTGTGATGGGATCATCAAACAGCAGAGGGGAGTGTGGTGATAATTGTTACCTGCTCAGAGACGATAGCGCTCCGGTTTGGCGGTTTGTGTGGACAGGCTGAGGCTCAGATTTTTTTCTTTTTTTCGCACGTAACTGTGTTGATCGCAGTTGTGTTCATTTTTTGGGGGCACAATGTATGATGTGATGCTAAGCGAGTGTACTGTACAGTACGGACCGAGAACCAAAATACCAGGCATGATATTACCAGGAGTCCCGTGGCAACGGGTATCATAATATGATATCTAGGAAGCAAAACCAATGTCGATACCATATCATGCTTGGGTCCATTGAGTGAGCAATATTTCTTTTTCTTTTCCACAAATCGAGAGCCTAGAGCTTGAATCTGGTTATTTGGGGGGATGAAATTTATAATATAGTAATCGGGTGAAGTTCAATCTTAGGGGGTGTTTGGCCCTCCATTTATGATTTCAAATCAGGTCTTGGCAAGTTTAACTTAAATTATTAGTTCTATTAATCTTGTACCTAGTTCAATATGGAAATAATAATCTAAGATAAAGTTGTTAAGACTTGATCTCAAATCGCGATTTGAAATCATAAGTGGCATGCCGAACACCCCCTTATTGTTGTTTCGTTCGGGTCCACGAGAACAGCAGTTTATGTGTCATAAGTGCCCTCAGGCTATAGGGCTTGATATATTAAAATAAGGCGGACATGGAGCGGTGGGTATGATATTAGAGACCATTACACGTGACATTGGTGATGGGGTCCTGCCCACTTTGCTCGCCCATACAATTAGGGTCCTCAGGCTTTCTATGGGGCTTGGGTGGGTTCAGGATGGGTTCGCTTTCCTCCGACCAAACAGCCAATGCCAGGGACAGTCGGTAAAAAAAGGGGGTTTGAGTATTCGAAACGGAATTTGGACACCTCGGGGAATGAAACCATGTTGCGCGCTGTTTGTAGTAGCTACGTCTCATTGGAGGATAGATGTTGTTCAATTGCCGCTTGATCACAAAGGTATCATACTGAGATCGGAAAGTTGGGTGGGGAAGGATTCCCAGTAAGGGATTTGGCGCTACCTAGCTTTCCAAAGGCCGTAAGGTGCTTTACCGTCGTACAGATTGCAGAGATAGAATACTTTGACATTGCGAGTGAGCTTGGAATGGATAAAGGAACGTGGAGTCCTACGGCGAAGGCTGGGGTGGGTGATCCTCTGATGTGCTCCGGGTTTGCGGAGAGGTTAGTTTTTGTTCTATACTTTAAGAATTCTTTAGCACTTGTGTGTTTATTTTATCCAGCTTGATTAATATGATACCAATTAAGATACTCTCTTGGCAGCCTCCTTGATCTCTCCTTGAAACCGTTCACCACACTCGCATGCTTTTGGGAGGCTTAATTTGGTCATGGTATGTGGTGGTTTGTTGATGCTATCGTAGCGAGAATCGTGGGCGGGGGATTGAACACTTGTCATGTATGTCTCATATAAACCGGTATTTGGTGTCATTTCCGGATGGTGGGTGAAAAGACCAGGAAGCACGTCACAACTTACTCGCTTTTATCATCGCGAACACTGCTACCACCCCCTCCTCCTCCCGTCCACCAACCGCCTTAAAAAGTTTTTTACAGCAGCGTGAAAAGTCCCATGATTCTCACCACCCCGCGCACTCTTATCCTCAGGTCCAAGGAAGCCACCCTACGCGAACTCTTGGTCGATGTCGCACAGGAAATCGATCGTGACAAGCCCGGCAGAGACCGCATGGTTTTACGCTTTGTCGGCGGTTGGGTCCGCGACAGGCTCCTAGGGCTCCAAAGCGTGGACATCGACGTGGGGATAGACAATATGACTGGGTACGAGTTTGCAACTCGACTGGACAGGTACAACAATGCAAACATTGACAAGTACGGCCTCAAGCCGGGCAGGGTGAGCAAGATCAAGAGCAACCCCGAAAGGTCCAAGCATCTGGAGACTGCTATTTGGGAGACTGAAGGGTGGAAGATCGATTTTGTTAATCTGAGGAGTGAGACATGTTATTGAGATAGCTTGATTCCGCATATGGGTTGTTCCACTTTACCCTCAGATCGGCGGATGTTGACCTGATGGGCTTAGGAATTCGGGACCCTAGAACAAGACGCCTTTGGCCGCGACTGCACCATCAATGCCCTCTTTTACAACCTACACACTGAACTGGTGGAGGACTTCACGGGCCTTGGCCTACAGGACTTGGCCGGCCGCCTAATCCGCACCCCACTACCCCCAAAAGAAACCTTCATCGACGATCCCCTCCGCACCCTCCGCCTAATTCGCTTTTCCTCACGCCTCGGTTTTACCATAGTTCCTGAAGCCGAGGCCGCCATGAAACTCCTAGATATCAAGGCGTGCAACCTCTCCTCCCCGGAGACATAGATTATCACTCACACAAACTAACCACCCCCCCCATGTTTCGCAGTCTGCCCTCAAAACTAAGGTCACCCGCGAGCGCGTCGGGGAGGAGATGTAGAAAATGCTCAAAGGCTGCAACCCTCATGCCTCCCTGAGCCTAATCTACGAGTTGGACCTCTACAACGAGATATTCGCCATGACAATCCAAGACCCCCCCGGTGCTCCCAGTCCAGGATATGAAGATAGCCGCGGACATCCTAAATGGCCGACTCTTCAGATCCGCCTCTTCGTATGTCCGCATTTCCCAGCTCTGGACAACGGAGAGCCAAAGGTACAATGCATGGCTCATCGCTGCCATGAGCCCCTGGAAAGGCCAGCCCTTGTTCCCAGCGGATAAGAAGAACTCGCACGCTGCCGCCACAGCCATGAGAGAGAGTTTAAAGTGTTTTAATGAGGTCAAAGGTGCAATAGCGATGGCATTCACAAACTGGAAGGCCATCCAGAGCATGGTAATTAACGTGTAGAGCACTGGGGCAGAGGCAAACTGGGAATGGAAATGCGCCCTTTGGGTGGGGACTGGAAGAATCAGGTTGGCGCTTGTTTGATTTTCGAACTCGTGGACTTGAAGAAGAAGAATGCTAGCGGTGGTGAGGTGGGGGAAAGAGGTGTAATGGATGAATACGAAACATTCCTGCAAATCGTTGGGGGGGGCTTTCAGTTTTAAGTGTTTGTTGGATGTATCGCCCCCCCATCTTTCTTCTAATAGTAATGGAGCAACGGTTAATTGCTGGGGGGATTAGGGTAATGACGTAGCAGCAGAATACGCCCTCCCCCAGGGAGCTTGGATGACGCCTACCCTTGATCAATGCCTCCATCACCAACTCGATAATCCGCACGAAGGCAGGGATGAGCTACTGCAGTGGGTTCGCGAGAACAGGCAGGCACTGTTGGATGGGCTGGAGAGTGTTGGTGTTGGCAAGGGAAAGGGGAAGCAAACGAGAAAAGATAAGAAGAAAGAGAGGAAAACTAAGTGAGCTAGGAGGAGGGAGGAATGAGAAAGTTTGGGATCACCTTTCTACGTACAATGGAGCTTGGGGTTTACTACTAGTAGAAATACTAGTGGCTGTAGTGATGGCAAGTTGAATTTACGCTTCTGGTAAGTGCCTTCTTGGTAAAGCCCTATATTCATCTATCCACCAACCCGCCAGTCCATCCGCTATATCACACAAGAGTGGGTTGACTAGAATAGAAGAGTTTATAAAAAAAGGACAGACAAAGCAACACGATGCCAGTCCATGAAAACAGTACTGCACAGCAAATAGTATTCACCACCACCAACACCTTCACATTGCCGATTCCACCTTTTCTGCATTTTTCAGGGAGCTTTCCCGAAGGTTCAAACCCCTCCCTTCCACATGTGGGGAAGACAAAAAGAAACCCCTCCCCCAACCTCCGGGGGTAAAAGGAAAATATAGATGGAGAGGTTGGTTGGGTGCCCGATAGCGCTGCCTTTTCTTGCATTTTCTTGACGGCTTCTATGGCTGATTTGGTGGAGACGGAGATGCCGAGTTTTGCCTGGTTCTTTTTTTATCGGTTCGATGCGCGAAATGAAGGTTATTATGTAGGATATATATACCTTAAAGTGATCCACATCACCAATGAATGTTAGGGTGGCGGCCAGCGCAGCTCTCTTTTCCAGTATGCAGACCGATTTTCCCCAGGTATCTGCTTGAGCTCTGAAAGTCGACATTCTAAAGACGCATCTGGAACCCGAGGTGCTGATGCCCTCCTTCTTCGTGCTGCCTCTCCCGCTTCTGTCCTGCACTAGTAAGTTTCCTGCAGCGCTCTTCAGGCTTGCAGCTGTTCCGAGGTATGATAATCAACTCCTTGGTAGCGTATCGGGCAATTCACGACAAGCCTGTATTATGCCCTTTCCTAGAGGGGTCGCGGGACACTGCCAGATAGATTCTATATCGGGTCCGAGGTTAGGCGTGAGGACTGGAGATACGATTCCATAAAGATATCCGTGAGGGCACCTTCTTGCAGAAGCAGAAGGTTGAAAGCCTTGGCGGTGGAGGGAAGCGCGAGCCAGAGTAACTAAGGTTAGTCCGCATCAATGGTAAAAAAATAAAAACATATTGGGAGGGTTGGCTTGGAAGTGTCGATTGAACATTTAACTTAATTTTCTTGCAAATTCGGGTAATTGAAACGGCCTGCTGGAACACCTCAGCAAATAAAACTTCAAAATTGAATATCAACCTGGAAAAGAGAGTGGAAAACCAGATGCTCTTACAGAAAGCTCGAGCAACAAACTACAGACAAAAGATGAAGAAAAGATAAAATGGAAGACACGAACACTGTTACTAAAAGTCTGCTTCAAGGAAATAGAACATATTGAACTCACCTGGACCAAGGAAAACAGAATCAAGAAGGCAAATGAGTAAGATAAAACAATCAAGGGAAGACCAGAAGCATTGGAAGAAGGTTAAATGGAAATAAAAAAAATTGCACTTGGTTTATACCAGTAGAAGAATGGAAATATATGGTACGATAGAAAGTAATGGATTCTAGAAAAAGTAGAGATAAGGACGAACATCATACAACAATATCACGATATCCTGATGGCAGGATACAGAGGAATGGCTAAAACAATATTCTTTATTACAAGGTTATTCTATTGGCCAGGAATGTGCAATGATGTTAAAAGATATGTCAAGAATTGTGACATATATCAACAGACAAAAACAGTAAAACACATAATGTATAGATTATTAAAATCAAATAAGGTTCCCGAATGATCTTAAGAAACAATTATTATGGTTTTCATCATGGACTGACTTCCATCAAAAGGATATGATAGCATCATGGTCATGGTAGATCACCTGACCAAAATGAGTCATTTTTTCTATTCAAAAAGAATATGAATACGAGGGATTTTATCTGGACATTCTTCCAAGAGGCCTTCTGACTACATGGCCTTCTAAGGAATATCATTATGGATTGAGGAATGCTATTCACATTTGGAATATGGAAAAAGATAACTGGAGAAATAGGAATACAAAATCGGCTGAGCACTGTATTTCTGTTAGGCGGAGACAACTTGATAGACTTCAAGATTGTCTAGGCCAATTGAGATTCGTTTTTGTAAACGGAGATTGTCTAGGAAGGCTCGGACTTGGCTCGTTTCGTTTATGACTACTAGGAGCGAAGTAAAGTAGGTAAAGTAGAGTAGAATTGTATAAACAATATTATATTGTTAAGGTCTCTTCTCTGTTGCTTGATGATGTCTAAAGCTTGGGAGGCACTTCGATATTTATATTCCGCGTCTGAGTGTTCGCGGACTACCTCTATCTATCATACAACTATGTACTTCTTCAATCATAATTCGCAACGTCGAGTTTTCTTCTGAGGTACGAACACCTGCGGACCCTGAAAACCATCACACCTACTTTGGTAATTACAATATTTCTTTTTAGGAAACATATTGTCTCCAATAGTAATATACCAATTAGTAGAGTCTTTAGACTTATGGCCTAGTTCTTAAGTTGAACTGAGTTGGCTCTAATCGTCTTTGCAATTGATAAAATGATCAGTTTTATCCACGGCTATATCTGCAAAGGTGGTCGTTATTACAACAATCGTAGGTTGCCTGACTCCGATCCTTTGTAACTCCATACTCAACCGATAGATTTTCTCTGGATAACTTCCTATTAATTCGCAGGAAGCTATTCCATCAGATTGGTGATTAATCCCTTGGTCGGCAACCTTAGGTTGCTTTCTTGGTAATAGGTTTCAGTAACTATCGTAGTATTAGGAATCACCCCATGACTACGACGTGTTCCGAAACCCAGTTGCAACACTCCGTAAAATTCGTTGGCTTCTTTGGTAGTGTCTTTTTGGAGTTCTAGACTCTTCTGGTAGATGTAAATGTATTGGTCTCTCATTGAGATCCTTTACCATTTGATACTATCTCTTTGTGCGAAATCGTCCCATTACTTACGGCCCATGCCAAAGGTATCATATTTTGGAGCCAAGTAACTCTCTGAGTAGTAGACGGAATCACGCCATTCCACTTTCCAGACCTAGCCGAAGGTCCCCTCTCATATATCCTGCGAATGGGATCTGGTTGGATGGACGGCGGTGACGTATATGGCGTTATTCTAGCACCTTCAATTCTGTGGTAATATAGTCACAGGACACAACTGAGATTGATATATATGATGACGCGTGGGCCCCGTAAGGGAGCAGGAGGGGGGTGTTGGAGACCAGAGATTCCGATTCCAAGTGGGGTTACCCTACTTAGAGTGGTTCCTAGGTATCGGATTCTGGTATTTCTAACAATTTCACCAGCAGATCGAGGGACAAACAGAACAGGTAAATGCAATACTTGAGCAATACTTAAGGGCCTATGTCAATTATCAACAAGATGAATGGGACAAGCTCTTATCAATGGCTGAGTTTGCATACAACAACAGAAAACAAGAAACGATAGACATGACACCATTCTTTGTGAGTTATGGACAATATCTAGAGAGTCAGGCTATGAATCATACTATTAGGGGCATGATAGTGGATAAAACAAACATGAAGAAACTATATAAAATATTACGATACGAAATGAGTCAAGCACAGCCATGGCAGAAAGAACAATACCATAAATACCAAAGGCCTGATCTGAACATTCAGCCTGGAGATATGGTGTGGTTGCTTCCATGCAATATCCATAGAATACAACCATCAAAGAAATTGGACTACAAGAAAATTAGACAGTTCCAGATACTGGAAAAAGTGGATGACGGAGCTTATAA